GAAGACTCAAAATATACAGCAGCAGGCGTCAGGGTCGGGAACGAACCCACGACCCCCTGTACACCAGGCGAGGTCGTTAACATCTCCTAGCCACCGTGATGATGGTGAGAGAGAGAGACACGCAAACTCCAAATATAGAGCAGCAGGCGTCAGGGTCGGGATCGAACCCACGACCTCCTGTACACCAGGCGAGGTAGTTAACATCTCCTAGCCACCGTGATGATGATGATGAGAGAGAGAGACACGCAAACTCCAAATATACAGCAGCAGGCGTCATGGTCGGGATGGAACCCACGACCTCCTGTACACCAGGCGAGGTCGTTAACATCTCCTAGCCACCGTGATGATGGTGAGAGAGAGAGACACGCAAACTTCAAATATACAGCAGCAGGCGTCAGGGTCGGGATCGAACCCACGACCTCCTGTACACCAGGCGAGGTAGTTAACATCTCCTAGCCACCGTGATGATGGTGAGAGAGAGAGAGACACGCAAACTTCAAATATACAGCAGCAGGCGTCAGGGTCGGGTTCGAACCCACGACGTCCTGCACACCAGGCGAGGTAGTCAACATCTCCTAGCCACCGTGATGATGAGAGAGAGACACGCAAACTCCAAATATACAGCAGCAGGCGTCATGGTCGGGATGGAACCCACGACCTCCTGTACACCAGGCGAGGTAGTCAACATCTCCTAGCCACTTTGTGCGTTCTCTAATCCACGCGTTCCTTGTGCCGCCCCTCAGTGACTCCCACCGTGCATTCAGCCACTCTTCTTTGCGCACTTTTGAAAGATTGTCTTTCGTTTTCTTGGCCGGGAACCAATCTCAGGATGGACGGAATCGTAAGCGCTGTACGCTAACCACTGCGCCACCGCTCTCCCCCCCCCGCCCCCTTCCTACACACAACACAAAACCTTGCTGGCTATGTCAACAGCAGCAGTAGCAGCAGCAGTAGCAGCAGCATGAGTAGCACCAACAGCAATATCAGCAGCAGCAACAGTAGCATCAGCAGTAGCATTTGTAGCAGCAATAACAAGAGCAGCAGCAACGGCAGTGTAGCAGTAGCAGCAACAGTAACAGCAACAGCATCAGCAACAGCAAAGCAATATAAACAGTAGCATCAGCAGCAGCGGTAAAAGCAGCAGCAATAGCAGCAGCAGTAGCAGCAGCAAAAGCAGCAGCAGTAGCAGCAGTAGCAGCAGCAAGAGCAGTAGTAGCATCAACAACAGCAGACACAATATCAACAGTAGCAGTAGCAGCAACAGAAGCAATAGCAGCAGT